ATTTATTTCGAAAAAAATTTGAATTTGAAAATTCAAATATTTTGTGAAAGTGAGGATGAATTTATTAAGCTTGGTACGAGGTGATAATTTCGTGTTTTAGAATTGTTTTTTTTTCTTTTTTTTTCTTTGATCAACTTTTTCATGGATTTATCGTAAATAAAGTTGAGAGTTTACCAAAGAGGTAGCTTTTTTAAATGAGGAATGATCAAGTGCTAATGAATTTTAGTTTGTTTTTAGAAATTGTAGAAAATGAATTTTTATTCAATAAGAAAGTGATAAAAATTTGTAATAATCTTTAAGTTCGCAAACTTAACTAAAATTTCATAATGTCAATTGAATACAATTCTTCTTTTAATACGATTAAAAAAAAGAAAAAGAAAAATTGAAAAACATCGATCTACAGACAGAAGAACAAATAACGAAAAGTATTAAATCCTTGAAATTTCTTTTAAAAAAAAAAAAAAACCAATCTCGATAAAATAAATCGCCCGTAAAAAAAAAGCGTATAACCATACGATAACTTCTGTCACACGATCGTCGCCACTTCCATTTTTCCAAATCTTTTCAAACCCACGATACCTCGTAATAATTAATCTTCACTCCCTTCCCCTTCCCTCCCCACGAACAACAAATTTCACTTTGGCGAAAGGTACCTGCCAAACGGTTCCAAACGGATCCCCAACCTCGAAACAATCTCGGACAACAAGTAATCCCCATAAATTCGAAGTGACGCGCTATCATAAAATCTTTTTTTCAATCCGTTCCTAAATTCTTCGACACCTCGACAACCCCTCGAATGAAAACGGATACACGCCGGATATCCTTCCCAATATCTATGGAATTCGGAGCTGTGTCGATTGGAAACGATTGGCACATCGTTCTCCTCCATGGTGCATTAGGGCCAAGCCAGAAACGTTTGTTGATTTTTCCCTTCGTTGAAAGCGACGACGATTTGTCCGCAAACATTTGGCTTCACCGAGCTCCTATGGCTCTTCACGGATCCGTCCGTTCTCATTTTTCCTCCACTTTCACCCCATCCCTTACCTTCGATTTCGCCCTGTTGTGCATTGACAACATCGACTCTGTACAAGGCGTTTTCGATTTTTTTTTTTTTTTTTTTGGGAAGAGGAGGAATGAATTATGGAAAGAGCAACAAGATTAACTGTGAGAGATTATTGTTTAATTGGATACCTTTTGAAATGCATAGAAATTTTGTAATACAACGGATATTTAAATTTAAAAGTTCTTCAACATTTTGTAAAATTAATTATAATCGATTGTAGAATTTGTTACAATTTATTTTGTATCCATTTTCAGACAAAGTTTACAATTTTTTATTATGTTTCCTAGTTGCTCCAGTTTGGATCGAAAAATAGAAAACACCGTGTACATTATGTAGAAGAGGTACGCCGATTAAACACGAAAATGGAGCAGAGGGATACGCTTCGAGTACTTGCAGGCATTGTACAATATAGTAGCCGTGCACTTGGTTATTTGGACAGAAAGTGGAACTTATTTCGCTGCCACGTTTATCAAATTAAAGATTCAGGAGGGTTACTTTCTTATTTCCTCCTCTTATTCTTCCTCGTCCTCTTGCAGTAAAAAGTTTGACTCTAAGGGAGCACGGTTTGACAAACTAGCTAGAAGAGAGTTACGAGATCTTATGTGTACATGTAATTGAATTGATCATAGTTACGTGAATCTCGATCGACGAGATTTTCACAGCGATTGCAAACAATCTAATAATTTGAAGAAAAAGGAATGGAGAGGAATGAACTTTTTTTTGGAAGAAGTTGTTGAACATTTGAAAACGCGAGGATCGTCAATTTTTCTTGTTTCGAGGGGGGATGCTTCGAGTCCTTGTAGTAGATAACTGGGGGGAGAGGTTATTAAAATTTCAGAAAAATCCTCCCGGAAAATTCGTGGAAAAGTGTCATGGCTACATCTCGGATGACGCATAGCGTATTCATAATAAATCACGGCCGCGCTGGAACTCGGTTGAATAACATTATTACGATCGAGTGGCGCAGTTACCGTGTAATAATGTAATTAGGTAATCGCTAACAAGATCGATGTACAATTTACCCGTTTCCCCATCAGACCACTTACAATTTTAATTGTTACAAATTGTATGTTTGTCAATCACTGTTACATGCGAATACTAATCACCCCACTCCAGATTTTATCGACACTCTTCCATTTTAGTAATATTAACGAGGTAATTAACGTTGAAATATCGCCGTTTCAATGACTCATTTGTGAAAATATGAATTGCTGTTCAAACGAATATATACATAGTAAAAAAGTATTTGTAAATTTTTGTTCGGTGAATGAATAAATTTTGATAAATGTGGATTCAATTATTTATATGTTTGTTGTTTTATATATGTGTTTTAATAAATTGCTGATTTTGTGTGAATTTTTGATGATGATATTAACACGTTATTATTTAATAACGTGATACATTGTAAATTAATAAAGAAAGAGTGAGGAATAAGTATTTTTATAGATGCGATATAAAATTTTTTAAGAAGAAATTTATAATATAAAATAATAATAAAAAAAAAAATAATAAAAAAATTCCATTGTTGAGATAGAGAAATAACGTTTTTACAAAAATAAGATTTCATGCATAAATAAAAGACATATTTAAATGAAATTATAATATTTAACTAAAAAGATACGGGAATAGTTTTATATTATAACAAAAATGTATCTTTCTTAACGTATCGTTTATCTGTTGCAATAATTATTTTCAGCTTTTAATAATATATGTGAATAAATATTCAAATATTCAAAATAAAAGATAAAAAAGAGCATGATAGATGTTTAAAATATCAATCTCATACTTCTTTTGTTACAACAAATAACATTTGCATATTATAGTCAATTTATATCTCGAATTTAACTTATATACAAAATTAAAAAGCAAATATTTATCATTGTTTAATCGTCCTAATAATTTTTAGAAATATTTAAAAAAATAACGAAGTAAATATAGCAAATCAATCGAAAATGAAAATCTTTACAACATTCTTCTAAAGTCCCAAAGAATTGGAAAACCGTGAGCCTCCATAGCTCAGGGGTTAGAGCACTGGTCTTGTAAACCAGGGGTCGAGAGTTCAAATCTCTCTGGGGGCAACAATTTTTTTCTCTCTTTATATCAAATTTAAGTATCTTACTAAAGTAATAAAACATATTTGCAATATAAAAGAAACGTTATAAATTTATAATTTCATATATAAAAGATATATTTTCTGATAGAAATAGATAAAAATAAAAGAATGGAAATCTATTTTCTCTCTTATTGTATTTGTAAAGATCAAAATAAAAATAATATGATATATTATATCATAGATTATCGAAATGCTAAACAAAATATAAATTCACCTATTAATGACTCCATCAAAACGTCACGGAAAATCATTATTTCGATGAGTTATTGACTCGAAATTAAACGAAATTTATAGAAATTTTACCCGGGATTTCATATATGAAATTAACGCTCTCTGCTGAATAAGAACAATCACACGTGCAAATATTTGTAACGGTTCACTGAATTTCTCGCTGTCCCCACAGAAACTCTTCGTCCCAAACCATCGATGCCTCGCTATCGATCATGACGATAAAACTTGTGCAATCCACTCATGGACAAAATTATTCCCACTGCCTGTCTCTAAGTTCTTGTATAAACATATCGATCGAACGGCAAAAGTTTTGTCCATTTTCGATGAAGCGTATTACGTGATTCGTTTCTTTATAATTCGAGAATAAATGAAAAGATCCTATTAATCCTTCGATATTTAAGAAATATAACTTTATAAAATGGAATATTTTTATTTCCAATTTCGAAATTATCTTTGTTTCTTAACATATTGTGATTTCTCTATATCATACGTATACAAAAGTTTCATCGTGAATATATTTAACCTAACCCACGAATGGCTATGAAAGGGAAATATCTATAATTCAGTATAAAACTGAAGTGAAAATGTAAAATAAATTAAGATTGAAAGAATTGAATTAGAAAAAAAAAACTGTATACAATTGGAATGAACTTGTAAAACTTCTATTTCGTTCGTTGCATCACTAACAATAATTTTTCAACGTCCATTCGCACTGTTTGACCACAATTAACATCGTTATCCATTTTTTTTTCTTCTTTTTTTACAATATTTTAACCCGAACGAAATGAAGAACAAAGTTTCTATTAAGAGATAAATAAAATCGTGTCGTTGAACATTTAAAACTTTCATTGCACGATGATATCACGTTCTTGTTGACAAGAAGGAAAAGATCAAACGAATAAAGTTCATCGATGCACCTATTAACATTTATCTTTTAACACGATTCATTGGTGCGAAAAATAGTTCGCTTATTTCTCTGACACAACATTTTATATTTTGCCTCCTACGTTCAGTTATAAAATAAAATATATTCAACGTTTGCCGTATCGATATAATATTTTTCCACTTAATATAATGAAAGAAACTTGTATATACATACATACTTAAACTAATAAGACAAGAATATAAGAAAGAAAAAATTTTTATAAAAAAAAATTCCCTCTCTTTACTCCTTAAAATCTTAACTTTAAAACCAAAAAATCTATTTTCGACATTCATCATTCCCGAATATTCCATCGTAATATAACCTATTCACGAAAAGTCGAAGTAGAGACTTTTATTCGTTCCTCGCAATATTCCACGATGACGCGTGAAATTGAAACGCGATGAAGTCACGCGTCATTTTCAGTTGCATTTAAGCGTTGTTCCACTTTCCTGTTCGTTGTCGTTCATTTAGATTTATAGAAGTGCATTGGCTTCGATGAACTCTTTAAACTGTTCGCGCGTCTCCTCTCCCAGAGAGGAGGAGGGGAGGATCCTTCGAGGGAGGGAAGACTCAAAACAGAATAATAGAAAACACAATATCGACGCGATTCCGTTCCGTTTCGTTCCGTTCCGTTCCGTTCCGTTTTCGTTTCGTTCCGTTTCGTCGATGATAAGAAACGACACTTGTTTAAACTATCGAGCAACGGGGTAATGAGAATTTAGCCGTCCGAAGACGCGAGGGAGAAATACAGAGTGGCCGTGTTTGGTTTAGCGAACTGCTTTGATCTAAATAGGGACGAAGTTGGAAAGTAGCTCGCTTTAACCTCATCCTTTCTGGTAAATATTAATTTATGGAAAACTGAAGCCTGGGATGGAAAACAAAAGACGCTTGGTGTCTCGTTAAAATTTATTTCGAGACAATTCTCTTCTCTCTCTCTCTTTCTTTCTCTCCAATCTCTGAGCTTAATTTTCGATTTTATTTTTTCTTTTTTCTTTTCTTTTTTTATATCTAGAGGAATAAATAAAGAAGCTTCTATCGTTTAATAATCGAAAGAATATTGTTCTTGAAAGGAGGAAATATCGTTGAAGAAACTCGAAGAAGATTGATAAGTAATTTAATCTAATCGTATCTGATGCTCATAAAATAGAGTCAATATCAGAATTAAAAGATTCTTCTTCGTTTCGAAATGATAACATTGCACTTTGTGTATTGAAATATAAATAATGCGTAGTATGTAAAAATATGGAAGAAAATCGAAATATTCGTATATCGATCGTATAAATATTAAGATCGGAAACAGGTAAATTAGATTAGTGACAGATAAATTAGCGTAGATAGACATGATCAATTTATCAGGAGATTCAGTATATATTTCGATAAATTGTCGGACAGTCCCGGGTAGGATATATATATATATATATATATATTGTGAAATTGCTTTGACACATTTCCTACCGTTTGCCTGAAGCTTGTGTGCGAACGAGAATCGATAAATTAACCGGTAGATAATGCACACAACCGGATGGAACGTGTACATGCTTGTACGTCGTTCGTAAACTCCATTCGTTGCTTTCGGCTAATAACTCGTCTAATTGATTAATTTTAATTTGGCACTTTGGTAATTTCGTATACCAGCTTTTTCTCTCGCATTTTTTCTTGCGTACAAATTTTTTATGTACACACAATTTTTATGCGTTAATTTGTAGCGTCGAATCGCGATCAAGTATCGAATTAAATACAAATACTTCTTTTCCAACGAAGAATTAATTATTTTCTAAAATAAAATCAAAAATCCTACGAAACGAAAGTTTGGAAATATGGAATATAACGTTTATGATGAAAAATATTTTCCTCCTTAAATTTTTCCTTTCGAGCTTCAACGGTATTATACAATATTTCTAACAAACTTCAACGTCGCATACTTGCATGCAGTTAATTAGAATTTGCACGGTGACGCGGCGTGCAAAAAAGATAAATCATGGAATTTCAAACGGTTGACAGGCCGCGTTGAAAACTTCTTATGAAAGGCACACCGCGACGTTATTAATTCACCAAAGACAAATTACTCGTGTCTCGAGGAAGAGACGGGACCTCTGTTAAGTTTGCTGTCGGCGCGTTTGTATCACGATACAACGAACAGTTTGCAGCTAGGTTATAACAAGACTTATAATTACCTGAATGCCACGCTTCGCTACACATCATTGCTATACATACGTCGCGCACAATAGTCGATTAAATATTATCGGTAAACGTATACCGTTAACGAACGCGTTATTGAACACACACCTATGTATATGATGAATACGTTCGAACGAATACACAAGTTAGAAATGATGGATCGAGGGAGAAGAAATTTGATTCGAGTATACATTCTTTCTTGAAAAATAATCTTAAGGTAGATTTAATCCTCTCTTGAAAAATTAATCCCAAAGATTAATTTCTACTTGAAATGTAATTCAAATTTGAAAATTAAATTAAAATTATTTTTCCTTCTTGGAAAAATAAAAAAATAACTTTAAAATTTAGATTATTAATTTAGAATATCGTAATCCTTTTTTTTTCTTTTTTTGATAAAATTCTTAATCAATCAAAAATTTCGTACGAAATATACAAAGATTAAGCGAGGTTAAAAAATTATTATTATACAATTTATTTGCGAATTATCTATCTTGTAATATACTTCTGATCAGGATTTTTAAATCTATCTTTTACAACATTCCTATTTCTCACAATTAATAAATTAATTCTAAAACAATCTCAACCAATAGAATCCACTTTCCCTTGGATCCGCGAGCTAAGCTTCTTTCACTCATAAAAAATGTAAAAAAAAAAAAATCGCACGAAGAACAAAACCGTAATAAAAGAAAGAAATTCTCCATCCACAGAGAGGTGGGAACTTTATGCAAATTCTCATAAACCAGTCCACCTTGCTTTTAACGAATTCAATCCGAAAGATATCGTCACAGATTTTCGCTGACACCCGGTACATTACCAAGAGATAAGGAAAAATTCACGCTGCCCTTCATCTCTTTTCCAGTATTTCCGTCCAACCGTCTAAATTATACGGCACAACTGGCGAATATCGTTCTACACAGTGTTGATATATTCGTGGAACACTTTAGCAGGATTAAAGCAAATGTTGATGTACAAAAATTGTTGAAAGTTATTTATTAAATTATAAGCAATTTAAATTATCATATGGATGGAGTAACGCGAAACTGGAACGAGACGACGAACTTTAAATAAATTCAAATTGCTCGTAATTTAATAAATAAGCTTCCACAAAAATTTTTGTATACCAACTGTTTTGTTTCAATCCTCCAAAGAATATATATGTTAATATTAGCAGAAAAACTTCTTTCTGTCCAATGATGGTAATATAATAGAGTGAAACAATTTTTATTAAATTTAAATTGTTTGTAACTTAATAAATAACTCTTCATAAATAAAATCTTCTGCTTAACTCCAAAGAATATATTAACACTCTGTACACCATCAACAGAGAAACCAGCTGCTTTCTGCCCAATGATGATCATATAATATAAAGGTGAGACAATTTTTATTAAATTGTTTGCAACTTAATAAATAAGTCTTATAAATAAAATCTTCACTGAAATTAATATATTCTTTTGTTTGTTTCAATTTCTAGAATTGAGACCTCCAAAGAATATATTAACACCTTGTATATACCAGAGAAACTCGTCTGAAAAATTAGCTGCTTTCTGCTCAATGATGATCATATAACAAAGTGAGACAATTTTTATTAAATTTAAATTATTTATAACTTAATAAATAATTCTTCATAATAAAATCCTCACCAAAATTTATATATAAATTTATATACTCTTTTGTTTGTTTCAATCTCTAGAATCGAGACCTGCAAAGAATATATTAACACCCTGTACATCACCAGCAGAGAAACCAGCTGCTTTCTACCCAATGATGATCATATAACAAAGGTGAGATAATTTTTATTAAATTGTTTGCAACTTAATAAATAAGCTTTATAAATAAAATCTTCACTGAAATTTATATATTTTGTTTATTTCAACCTTTAGAATCGAGAATATATTAACACCTTGTATATACCAGAAAAACTCATTTGAAAAACTAGCTTTTCTTCCAATGATGATCATATAACAAAGTGAGACAATTTTTATTAAATTTAAATTGTTCGTAACTTAATAAATAACTCTTCATGATAAAATTCCTCATGAAATTTATATATATTCTTTTGTTTCTCTAGAATCGACACTTCCAAAGAATATATTAAGATTCTATATACCATCAGCAGAGAAACCAGCTGCTTTCTACCCAATGATGATCATATAACAAAGGTGAGACAATTTTTATTAAATTTAAATTATTTATAACTTAATAAATAACTCTTCATAATAAAATTTATATATAAATTTATACTCTTTTGTTTATTTCAATCCCTAGAATCGAGATCTCCAAAGAATATATTAACACCCTGTACACCACCAGCAGAGAAACTCATGTGAGAAACCGGCTGCTTTCTGCCCAATTATTTTCGTATCTCTGCCAGCCATGACCACCATCCGTCCGTATCCCCGTGGCCACGGCCCTTGCGGCTGTCGTGGACCGCACGTGTCCCCTGTATCCATCCTTTAACCGCCTTTCACCTGGATATCACATTCAGGAAATGAAAATACCATAATGGCCGCTGAAATGCAACCTCGGAAAATTTCTACGGTTATACGTGCCTCGTATCTGTACCCTGATGCTCTCCCTGAAACACTCGGACTGCGAAAGAAAATTGAAAAGTCTGTGAGCTCGTCTGATACGTAACGGGTGAGACGAGCGATTCGAAATTGCAATTGGATGGCGGATTTCTTTTAGCCTTCTAAAGAGGCGAATTTACGAATTCTTTCGTCAATTTTATTTCGTGCTTAAAAATCATTGGAGATGAGGCGGATTAATAAATCGGTTCAATTTTCTTGAAATTTTGGACAACGATTTAAGATTTAACGATGTTTGTATGGAATACAATCGAGACATCAGAGAGTTAAAATAAATTTATAGTAATGTAATTTTCTCGAATTGTAATCCGCTTTTGTAATATTTAAACAGCACTTGTATCTGTGTTAATAAAATAAGAAAATGAGTATCGTGAAAATTTTATTTTACCAGGAAAATGGCATCAAATCCGAGAGAATCACCTGAACACTTAGAAGAGAAAATATTTCAAGAATTGATTCGAAGAATCGACAATCTAGAGAAAATGGAAGCAAATGGAATTTGGCATTCGAAGAGATTTCGCGTCAGAAACGGAGGACAATGGTTTGCGAATGTATTGCGCGGTTTGGAAGAGAAGAGAAAATCCATGAAAATTGAATTTTAAAATTCATGATTAAGAGAAAAAACTTTGTTTGTGAAGAGATAGTACCTCGTGGATTTATATAAAATATATTCTTAAAAGAAAAATCTTATTCACCATAATCAAAGAAAAATAAAAAAGATTGCATTTCTATATCCAAAATATTATCCGACTTCACATTCTACATACTTCAAATACCGATTTTCTTTAACTCACAGGTACACGCAAAATTATTCATCAATTTCCCAATAAACGAGTATAAATTCTCAAAAAGCGAGAACAAAAATGTCGAGCAAAATTTTCTTCCTTTTTTTTTTTTTCTCGCGCGGCTATCAATCCTAATACCGAATCCAATAACACGCCTGTACAAGAACCAACTTCCCAACAAAGCCGCGCATTCACCCCTTCATCCCCCCTCATATTTGCGTAAAATATAGATTCAGGAGGGTATCATCTTGACGGGAAAAACAGAAATGTATTCAATGCATACGGAAGTGTGATATAACCGAGAAGAACGGAACACGTAGGTGGCAATAATAGGCGAGGATTCGTATTATCGACTGCGGTCCCGATAATCGATTCACGAGGAAGAATCGCGCCCTCCCCTTTATCGAGGACGCCCGAGTTCTTCCCGCAACGCGCGCCACCTCCTCCCCCCTCCCTCCCTCCATTCCTCCATTTCTCTTCATGCATCGCAATGTGTCGCGCACCGCACTGCATTACGCAATATGTCACAGTCGGGTCGCACGGGTCAACACGTCGAAGGAACACAGTTTCCAAGTTTCCAAACCGTTCGAACTTACCGGAAACCGTGCGAATTGGACCCGCATGATGATATCTTCGTCCTCTGAATAATAATTAGATCCTCTGTATACTACCTTGCGCTCAATCTAATCTTCTCTACGAAGTGTTCGATTCGATACACTTCGTATTCGAATCGATACGCAGGTATATTCCATGTATAAAATTTTTTCATGGATAAAAAAATTTATGGATCGATCCGAATATTCCTGAATTCGGAAATAATTAAGCTGATTCGATAGATTTGCTATATCGTTAGTTCGTTTTCATCTCGTTTCAAAGAGGGAATTATAGAAAATATTTGTATCCTTAGAGTTTCCAAACTCTTTTTTCAATCAAGTTCTACATTTTATTTTATTGTCAAATTTTTGGATTATATTAATTAGTACACGAAGATGTATAATAAATAAAATTGTATACTCGCTGTGAAAACTCGTTATGACACCTTTCTTGCAATAAATATTAAGTGTAATTAATAAGAAAGAAAATTTAACTTAACTTTACTCAAAGTTTTCGCAAAAGATTGAAGATTTTGTTACTCTTCCCTCGAATCTTTCAATTATCAAAATCACGAATACAATTTGTACGATAAGATCGAAATCCTTTAATTGTCTGTTTTAACTAATAACAAGAAAGAGAAGAAAAAAAGAAAGATTCTTGATTGTGGAAAGGAATTCTTTCGAAAGTTCAGAGATAAATTTACAATCACAATTAACAGCAGTAAAACTTTTATATTCACAGTTCTTCGAAAGTTAGAAATAAATCCACGGATAAATGAACGATCCAATGAAAAAATTAACTTCTTTGAAAATGTTAAAAGCATTTGCACCGTCGAATTTACGGGCAAATTCTTTTAAAGTTACCAAACAACAGGATATGTAAGAACAAAACCAATGTAAAGGTCTAAGAATTTTTTAAAAAATTAATAAAAATAAATGAAAAAAAAAACAATACATCTCGAAGAATAGATCTCTTAATTTTCATTTCATAATTTTATTTCAATTTTTCCCATTAATGTTTAATTTACTTTTCAAGAAGTTATATCAAATTGATTTGTAGATTAATTTTTACTTTTGTAAAATATATGATTTATTATAAAATATATCGCATCGTATAAATAGAGTCATGAATTTGAAAAAGAAATTAAAAAAATATATAATTAATATTGCTGCTTAAAATTGCGCAAATAAGTGACAAGATATTGATTAATCAAATAATTTCTGACTAAAATGATGTATAATTTACGATTGAGAAGAAAATATGCAAGCTTTCCTAGAAAACATGTTTCGTGTGAAATAAATCTTATTAACAATAATTCAATGATCCGAAATGATGAAATGTATAACAAGCAAGCAAGAAAAATAATCAATGTCTATTCTAGTAAATTGTTTTTGTAAAATAATTTTAAAAAAACCATTCTACGTATGTATAGTAATTTTTCGAGATGCATTCTAAATTTAGAATTTTGGATAAATATTATATTTTAAAATATCAATATATAAATAAATATTAAATAAAATATAATAAATATAAATTTAATTATTTATTATTATAAATTAAAAAAATGTAATTATTTATTTTAAATTTCAATATTTTCTTTTATTTTTTCAATTATAAAATTTAAATGAATCCTTTCTTGCTATAAAAACACATAAGTTGAAATATCAAGAATTAAATTTCATGGATAAAAATGTTCGTGGATTTCTTAAAAACCAATCCTGATCTTGAGATAAAAACATTATATACTAAATCTCAAAATGTTTGCACATTTATCTTTTCTACGGATAACATCAAATTATGAACTATAATTTTCCCTCATGCAACCCTTAAACAAATTATCGAAGCTGTTTTTTTTGATATTGATTTTATCTAAACAACTCTGACTAAAAATATTATCCTTTTGACTAAAAATATTATCTTTTAACCGATATAACCGATTATTTTCATCAATCGAGACTGAATTTTTTTTTTAATTTTTTAGAGACATGTCCAGTTTGTGGAAATGATCGTTTAAGAATCATTCGAGATATGTGACAAGATAGAAATAAAATTTCATGATTAAAATAAGCTAAATATTTCTCATTATAGAAATAGAGATAAACGAATAGGGATGACGAACAATGGAATAATCTTTGTTCTACTTATAAAAACTCTCATTATCTCAATAATATTATTTTACTTTGTCTGAACATTTTAATAATAATAAATATAATAAAATATTATTTATTTTTGAAAAAAAAATTAATAAAAATAAATAGAAAAATTGAAGAATAAAGAATTTTCAAAAAATCAAATAATTTTTTTTATGATTATAATTTGTTTAAATATATCAAAATATTTTAATAAAATATGAATATATATTTTAGATTTTCATATCTCTTTTATATTATTCTTTATTTATATTATATTGTTTTAAACGTACAATCGTACAAAGCCTACCTAATCGTTGATTAAAAATTCACTTCGTCCAGTTCGCGTGAAAGCCTTAGGGTAATCTCCAAGGTAGACGTATCATTGTGCCACTTGGCCGATGAGGCGTTAGGATCAACCGGATGTGGCGTCTCAAGGTGGAGCCGATAACTGGAAAATTGTGACTGACTTTAAGCTCTGGCAGATTTACGGAATCGTAAAATTGTCAAAGAAATTCCAGTTTGATTGAAAGTCAGGGCAACGAAAGTTTGTAGAGAATTGCCTGATAAATTATTGGGATTGTCTCTTACTTTAGGCTACGAACGTCGATGGCCTCGGTTTCCACAGACAGCTCAATTTTCTCGCGCTTTTCATTCGGCATCTTCACAAACACAGACAACCATTCGCATGATGCAGTTCCTGGTGTTTTAAAGCCCATCTAATTTAACAGGAAAATATAAATTACTATATAATTACTGTTTATTTTAGTAAAAATTATTCATTAATTATTTTGATTATTTTAGCTATTGATTAAGATATTATATATATATATTGATTAAATATTAAGATATTTTCAATTTTATTTTAAGGATTATTTTTTAATATAATTGAGAAATAGAAAAATATATATATCACAAAAATATATTTATATTATATATATTATATATTATATATTAATTATAACCTCTTAATATTTTAATATTTTAATTATATACTTAATTATTAAATTAATTTTACCGAAATTATTTTTTAATATTATTTTTAATAATTTTTTCTGTATGCAAAGTTTATGAAAATTACTTAATTACAAATAATATAGAATAATGATTAATTTTAGGAAAATCACTGAAAGCAAAATTATATTAGAAATTATTTATGTAATTCGATAAATAAGCAATCATCGTAAAATACGAATAAAAATTAAAAAAAAATTATAAATATTCTATTAAAAAAAACTATAATAAAAATAAATTATAAAAAAATATCATCATACAAAATACGAATTTTATTTTAGATTATAACATGATGAATAAACATGATAATAAAACAATAAAATAAATAAAAATTTTCTTATAAAAAACAACATAAAGCACAAATTAATAAAAATTTCATTATCAGAATTAACAAAAAAGAATTAATTTTAATTAAACTAACTTTAGTTCTTGCAAATGTGAATATAATATATATTTTTGATACAAACTATTTTTTATAATAAATATATCATAGTAAAAATTAAAATGAATTATATTTTCCAATTAAAAAATTTATACAATGAATATGAGCAAAGTTCAAAAATTATTCAATGTCATAAATATCAATACAATACTAACTCCCAAAAAGACATCTTCCGCTGTCACTGCTTGTTTAAATTTCATTTCGTATTCCGGTACTTTCCTTGGATCATAGGTTTCAAAATTTTGAGAGGCGATTGCTTCTGATGAATGCCAAATATTATCAGAATTCATTTCCAACGGTGCATGTGGACCCGAATGTTCTTGAGACATTCCATTCTGTACTTTGATGTCGCCAGGCCCTTAAAAACATTCGTGTACATTTATGTACACGATATAGTATATAAAACTTACTTAAAATATACTTTTTCTTCCATTTATTTTTTCTTTTTTTTTTTTTTTTTCAGTAATATATAATATATAATATTTTATCAAATCTTTATATATTGAAAAATTTTATCAAATCTTATATATTGAATTTAATATAATAATTTTCTTTATAGAAGTTATGAATGCAATGAATTTTATCGATTACATATAATATTGATTAGACTTTTTATAAATTTTTTATTTATATCAAATAATTTTATATCATTTTACGAATTTATAATTTTGAATAAATAAAATTAAATTTTCAAAGAAAAATACACAAATTATTATTTTATTAATGTTATCAACTTTAAATATTAAATATTTTCGATCTTTGTAATACGATTTTTCTACAATGAAATATAATTATTATATTAATTTTATTATGAAATTTTTTATCTATGCTCAAATTGCACATTATTATCCAATATTATTATTATAAAAATAAAAGCATTATGTCTTTTACAACAAAAATATATATATATATATATCAAATAAATAAATATATATATATCGAAAAAACTTTCTAATACTAATCTTTTAACTTACCAAGTTTTCGAGCACCAGCCTGTGGTAAATCATCTTCAGAATCTGAACTATCTTTTGTAGGATTAATTAATTCTTGCAATGCTTTTAATTCTTGATAACTGAAACAACCATCCATTTTTTAACTTTTATATTATAAATTCACATTGACATTAAACACAAGCAACTGAACATACTAAATGCATGAATCAACAGAAGTGGTTGTCAAAGTAACACATTTCAAATATTGTATCTATAAAAATGATAATATAATAGTAATAATACAAAAAATAATTGAATATTTATATATAATAGAATATATGTAAGTTAAAATAATAGAATTAAATTTTTAATATGAATAATAAACAAAAAAATGACTTAAAATTAAAATAACGCGCGAAAAAACGAAGAATTAAGCATTCAATTTGACAAATAGATACCTTGCAGGTTTACCAACCACAAAATAAAAATCTTTTCTACGTTTATCAACATGGCTGACACTACGGATGAAAAATTATCAAAAAAGTGAGTAAAGTAATAATACAGAAAATTAATAACAGAAAATTAATTTTTCAAAAAATATTTATAAGCATATATTTATAAAAAGTTCATCTATATTTTATCTATAATTTTAACATAACCAATATAAAGCAACAATCAATGCCATATTCTAGTTAACCACGTTGTTATATGAATAATTATATATTGATCCTTTTTTTAAGCGTTAATTATTATTTTACATATTTATAAATAAATAGCTTTATTGTATGTATTATAATATTCAATATTAAAATAGTAACCATAATTTCTTTTAATTATGCTGTATTATAACATAACCAAAACTTTTGTTGACGTAATACTGCCGGTATTTTATAAAACAAAACCAATAAAATTACGTCAAATATCAGTATGTTATTTTCACACAAAGTGCGTACATTTTTAAATTTATAATTCCTATAAAAAATAAAATCTATATTTCGAATGTTTTAAATTCGGTTACAGTGAATTAAAAAGACGTTTAAAAGCAGAACAAAAATTGAAGGAAAAAGCAGAAAAAGAAGCAAAAGCATTTGCTGAAAAACCAATAAAAGATAAAGCCAAAACTCAAGACAAAAAGGAAATTAAGGAAGAAGAAATTAGTCCAAATGTAAATATATTATAATATATTTATATATAATATATGTATATATTGTATTATACGTAATATATATATGTTTTTAAAATATTTTTTAATTAATTAAATATTTTAATGTATATAATATAAATTTATTACTACATTCACATTAAATATTACATAACATTTTTTAGGAATATATTAAACTTAGAACACAAGCAATCAATCATCTTAAAAATACAAATGATATTCCATACCCACATAAATTTCATGTATCAATTTCATTGGAAAATTTTATTGAAAAATTTAATAACAATTTGAAACCTGGAGAAATATTAAACAATGAAGTACATAGTATAGCTGGACGTGTACATGCAATAAGAGAATCAGGTGCTAAACTTATTTTTTTTGACCTTAGAGGAGAAGGTGTTAAAATTCAAGTAATGGCAAATGCAAGGCACTATAAAAATGAGGAAAAATTTACTCCTGATATTTCTAAGATAAGAAGAGGTGATATTATTGGTGTAATTGGAAATCCTGGAAAAACTAAAAAGGGTGAATTTTCTATTATGCCACATAGTATTATTCTTTTGAGTCCTTGTTTACATATGTTGCCAAATCTTTATTTTGGATTAAAAGATAAGGTATAAAAAAATTAAAAAATTCTATTCTGAAATGTATATCACTTTAAACTAGATAATAATAATTTATCATTTAGGAAACAAGATTTCGTCAACGTTATTTAGATCTTATATTAAATGATAAAGTAAGAAAAACTTTCCATATACGTGCAAAAATAATCGCATATGTTCGCAAATTTCTTGACGAACTTGGATTTTTAGAAGTTGAAACACCAATGATGAATATAATTCCGGGTGGTGCAACAGCTAAGCCTTTTATTACACACCATAATGAATTAAATATGGATTTATATATGCGCATTGCTCCAGAATTATATCTTAAAGTAAAAAATATTTTTTATATAGTCATAATTATATTTATATGTTATTGAATTAAAATATTTAATTATCTGCTTGTAGATGTTGGTAGTAGGAGGATTAGATAGAGTATATGAAATTGGTAGACAATTTAGAAATGAAGGTATAGATCTAACACATAATCCAGAATTCACAACTTGTGAATTTTATATGGCTTATGCAGATTATAATGACTTAATGTCTATTACGGAAGATATGGTATCAGGAATGATAAAATCTATTCATGGTAGTTATAAAATAACATATCATCCAGATGGACCGGAAGGTGAAGCAGTAGAAATTGATTTTACTCCACCATTTAAACGACTTTCAATGATAAAAACATTAGAAGAAGTTTTAAAAATTAAATTACCTCCAGCAGACAAATTAAATAATCCTGAAACAAATCAAATACTTAGCGATCTTTGTACTAAATATGAGATTGAGTGTCCTTCACCAAGAACAACAGCTAGATTGTTAGATAAAGTAATATTTTAATAGATGTTAAAATATTATTAATATAGTTATACATTTATATCATTCAACAAATTGTTAACAGCTTGTTGGAGAATTTATAGAAGAAACTTGTATCAATCCTACATTTATTTTGGATCATCCTCAAATTATGTCTCCATTGGCAAAATGGCATCGTTCTGAACAGGGCTTAACAGAACGATTTGAATTATTTATTATGAAGAAAGAAGTTTGTAATGCATATACAGAATTGAATGATCCAATAGTACAAAGAGAAAGGTAATAATATTACTTGAATAAAAATCTCTTATAAATTATAATAAATTATAATAATAATTATATATAATAATTATAATAATAAATTATACAATTTTTTAAATTTCTAATAATATCAGTATATATTTATCTGATCAAAATATATAGATTCGAGGAACAAGCAAAAGATAAAGCAGCTGGAGATGAGGAAGCACAAGTCATTGATGAAACCTTCTGTACAGCATTAGAATATGGTTTACCACCAACTGCTGGTTGGGGAATGGGAATTGATCGTATTACTATGTTTCTCACAGATTCAAATAATATTAAGGTAAATTTTTAAATGACTATAAAAAATATATAAATAGAATATAATATAATAGAATAATATTCTTTTAGGAAGTACTACTATTCCCACAAATGAAACCAGATGACCCAAATAAAAATCAAGGAATATCTGAAGATGATAAAACATTAAATGATAAAGTAAATCATGTGGAAAAGTGAAGATTTAATATTATGATCTTATATTCTTTTGCAGTGTGCAAAGTAAAAAATAAACAAAGTATGCTTCCAAAAAATAATGATAATATTATTTTTATTCCATATTTTGTATGTATTACTTACTACCAAAATAGTACAAAACTATGAGAACACATGAGAAAAGTATTAACATATATTCACACATACACACAATCTTAATATTTCTACTATAATAATATCGCTTTAATATTTAATTTTAATTATAAATTAAATTTGTATTATAAAAAACAAATCATATTTATTTAAATATATATTTACATTAAAACTTTGGAGCAAGCAAGCACTGAACAGTAATGTGTACTTGCAATTTGCTGGCAGCTTCATTATATTGTCAAATATTTAAGTAATAAATAAATACAATTTTCATAATAGCGCAATAATCATTTACAAAAAAACCACAAAGGAAGACTTATTAATTCTTATTATCTTAAATCTAACTTACTATTAATAAAAATTATAGATTTTTAAATGTATATTAGTTAAAGTTGCCAGAGAAACGTTGAATTATTAATTTAAAATTGATATGTTTCCTGGACATTTAAATTGTGGCAGCTTTGAATAGTTCATGATATTTTATCATAGTAAAAAGTGTTACAAAACATGCTTAACTTCTCTTCTTGTTAACATTAGCAAAATATAAAGTCCATTTTTATCAGCTTTCTTCTTCTTTAACATATTTTGTAACAGAATTATAATGAGCACCTAATTCATACATATGCCGATGATAAGTTAATATCATTTTCTTTTCATTATTATAATTATCACCAATAACATATGGTGCACCTGATGCCTGAATAACTTCTATTGGACATTTTAATACATGTGAAAGGACTTGTAACTATTTAAAAAAAAAATAACTTAATACAATAATTTTTAAATATAAATATTTATCAGAAAATTATAAATATTTTGTTTTTATTTTAACTTACTTCAATAGCTCCACCCCATGCACTTGTATCTGCCACATCATCACAATATTTTTCATACTGTTCTGGTGAGAGAAAATCATCAGAATCTGGATTAGAAATAAATGGTAAAAATTCATTCATATTTTCTCTTAAATATATAGCAGTTTTTGATCTGAGTTCATGAAAATTTAATGGTGTCTCTCCTATAATTTTTAATTGATGTGCAACAGCATTATACAAACTGAAAAAATTAATATAGTAATCAAAAATATGAATAACATTGTATAATTATAAGTTAGTAAACTTACCAATGGCCATCACTTGGAATCTCATAAATCATTAGACCACGTTCACAAAGAATTTTTTTAATAGTTTGCAATTCTACATTCCTTTTTCCGAAAACATTTAATGCTTCTTGTTCTATGATTCTTTGATTACGTTCTCTTTCAGCATTTGCTTTTTTATCTCTCCTTTTTTGAGCTTTTGAAACTCTCTGTATTGGTTGTTCATATTGTTTATTATCTTTTGTGCTTTCGTTACTATTACTATTTTCTATATTTTCATTTTCCACATTATTGATATTAAGATGTGTGACTTTCCATATAGTTAATTCTTCTTCTTGTTTTTTATCTAAAGCTTCTTCTAAGCGATTGATTTCTTCAGTTACCTCTTTTTTCTTTTTCTTATCACCCTTACAAATTGACTTTTTTAGTATTTGTATTTGTGCTAAAATTTAAAATATAAAATACAAAAATTATAATTAAAATTTTTAGATAGTTAATATAATAAAATATTTTTTATAAAAAAATTTATATACACGCAATATTAAATTATAAATAATTTTACATTGAAGAACATATTATTAATAATTAATTAAAAATATTTCATAATTCAAAATTGTTTAATTTTATTACCTTGTAATTCTTTCCGTTCTTTTTTATGTCTTTGTGTTAATTCTTTTTCCGTTAATTCTAATTCTGCCATTCTTAATTTAGAGGTTATTTAAAAATTATATATTTATTTTAAGGTTAGGATATAAAGTACTGACATGATAAACTGATACCGATACATCATAGCATTTTCATGAATCAATTTCTACTTTCGATATGAAATTAGGTAAGTCTTAAATATCTTCTTTTTATTTTAACTAAATATTTAAAAATTATTGTATATTGAGTCCATTTATTTTTGAGAAAAAATTCAAAATTTGTTATTAAATAAAAAATTAATTAACTTAATTTATTTAATATATCTAATTTTTTCATTCGTAATTTTATAATTATTTTAAATATTAATTTAAATATATCGAATAGATTTTAATCTCTCATGTAATATCATAAAGTAATCTTCATTTTCATAGAAACATGATTAAGGAAGCTATTTATCTTTATATACTAATACCTTTATGTTTCAAACTATAAAAACAGGCTTTCAGTTAGTGATATGTTAGTCGTACTGTTACCGTGATAAAAGAAGGTTGTGTAATTGCTTCGATTGTTGATTTAATTATTGAACATTAAAAATGGCAACAGATGAAAATTCTTGGAGAACACAAAGTTTTCGACAAAGTGTAATTGCGAAAATGTAAGTTAATTTATGTCAAAAAATTATAAATGGTAAAATATTTCTTTATTTTAACATAATTAAAATAATCTACATTATAAAAAAATTAAAAATTATTTATAATATTTTATGTTTTTATAAAAATAGAAGAATAAATTTATATATATAAATAAATAAAAAATAAATATTTTTATATTTATTAAAAATATTTTATAGAGATGAAGCTGTACAAATGTCTGGGATGCCTACTGCAAAAAATAGTATTGAAATGGAAAATCATGTTTTCCAAAAAGCAAAAACTAAGGTTTGTGTTTTAAAATTATTAATTATAAATTAATTATTAAATCTAATAAATATAATATGTAAAAATTTTGAAGAATAAATATATTATTTATCTTTCAAATTAAAAATAAAATTATTATTTTTACTAATAATAAGTTCATTTATTTGCAGGAAGAATATCTAGGTTTTGTGGCTAGATTAATTCTACATGTCAGAGAATTAAGTAATATAAATATTTTAATTTATATAAAATAGTTAGTTTTACCATAAATTTAAATAATTGACTATTTATAATGTCATATATTTTTATGATAGATACTAAAAAAGGTACAGGAGGTACTGCATCAGGTACAGCTTGTTCTGGAAATCAAGGAATGCCTGATCCAATTGGAGCATTACAAACATTAGCACGTCAAGGAACTGGAAATAATCAAATGATGAATATGAGTGGACCAGGATCCAATCCTCAAGGAATAATTCCACAACCACCTACAAACACTGCTACTAATTGTAAGTATATTTTTTTTTGTGATGTTATGATAAAAGAAAAAAGAATGTTAAATAATAGCATCTATTATTGAAAAAAAAATTTTTTTTCAAAAATTTTTTTTTTAATAATTAAGAATATAGTTAATAAAATACATTTATATCTAAACCACTTTTCAATTATTCTGCAAGCTAGCTATAATTATTTATTTTTAAAAAAGTAAAATAATTATTTATTTTCATTATAATTCTATGCAAGTAATATAGCTATATAATAAAGTTATAGTTATGTCTAAATTTTTCTGATTGCAAATTGTAATAATTTATTAAATACAATAATCATTTTTTAAAAAAAGAAAAAATCAAAATACATTATATTGCATTATATAAAATAATTTTCATTCTAATTTAACTAAATTATTGAAACACCTTATATATTTCTCGACATATATATAGTATTCAATGCATAAAACATATAAATATGAAATCTTTCAAGTGATAAAAACTGTATAAGATATGTATGTCTTTAGAAAGCTTTACTATAGTCAATTGTAACTAAAACTTTTACTTCTAACACAAATTATTCTGATGATTATATAAGTATATTATGTAAATATATTATATAAATATTAATTAGAACAAAAAAAGAAAAAGAAAGAAAACTTAAATAATATATTTTTTTTATTAATAGAAATTTAATAGGAACTTAACCTAATCATTATCATTATAAAAATTTATTAAATTAACTCTTTAAAAAGAAACAAAAAATGTCTAAATTAACTAATATGTATTACTCACAATATGAAAGTTCTATAGAAAGTGAAGCTGCTTATGATTCTGATAATTCAAATACACATGAAATTTTAACAAAATCACCATCTCATGCTCAATTTTATAAATACATTGAACGTAGAAATGATGAAGAATTATTACATGAATCTTGGAAATTTACAATACGTGAACAAATAAATCTTGCAACAGAGATTAAAGAGCAATGTGGTATGGAAGTTAATTTAACAGATAATCAAGTATGTTATATTTATAAACCTGGTATAGATGAAACTCATATACCAGGCATCAAATTTAAAATAACATTTGTTTATATTAAACTATTGCGTAAATGGTACATTAGTTTAGGGCACAGTCGCCTTCCAGATGTAATAACACTTGAGAATAAAGTAAAAAGAGGTACTTATAATCCTACTACGCCAAATATTCTTAAAATGATACGTAAAATAAAAAATTCATTGGAAATTTTTGTACAAAGATTAGAATATATATATAAAATGATTGAAAATATAAAAGAAATTCACAAAGATACAGAGTTTGAAGTAAATAAATCTTTGACCAATATCAAAATAATGCTAAAAGAAAATGCTTGGCCAAAATTCATAGAAAAAACAAGCCTACAAGATATTATTATTCTAGAAATAGTATTAGATATTAATTTTAAAACTGATAATCTTTCATATGAATATATATATAAAAATAATGTATTAACACAACAAAAAGAAATATGTATAACTAAATTAGAAAAAAAGCTAAAAATATTTTTTGATTTCCCTTTAATGGAAGCGTTTAAATTGTTTATGGATGAAAATTTTTCTTTTGATGAAAAATCACTATCTTAATCGTGTAATACATTTCATTTAAAATATATCATATACATACAAATATATTATATTTTTTTATTAAATTTATATTTAAGTTTGCAATTGTTTTATATTTTAATTTAATAAGATTGTTAAATATTTTATTGAATTGTAATCTTTTTATTCTCCTATGTTATAATTTAAATATACAAACTATTATAAATGAAGACATTATATATTAAAATAAATATATATATTGAAAAATATATTTAAAAAATTAAGAAATAATAGTATCATTTTATTCATTAAATTAATTATTTTATTATGTCATTATATTTTTATTCAAATGATCTTTTTCATATATTTCTACTGTAAATCTTACTAAAATATAAAAGTATAATAATATGATAAAATAATTATATAACTATTTTTTTATATTATCAATTGTTTTAGTATTACAAAGTTTAAATCAACGTCCTGGACAACCTATAACCATGCAGAGTATGCAAAATAAAATACCAGGTATGGGTATGATGCCTGCTCAAACAAGTGGTCCAATGAATCACATGGGTCCAATTCAAACTATGCAAACTAATTCAATGTTAACACAAATGAATTCAATGGGTCAAGGAAATATGTCTCAACAAATGAATCAAATGGTTCCCAATCAAATGACACAAATCAATTCAGGACAAATGCAGCAGAATATGCAAGTACGTATTTATTAAAAAGAATATAAATCTTTTTTTTATATGTATATAATAAATATAAATGAAATTATATATTTTAGACTCAAATGCAAAGTCAACTATCTAATCAAATAAATAATCAAATTACTGGATCTATAAGTGGAATCCAAACAAATTTGCCACAACAAATGAATCAGATTGCTCCAGGACAATTAGGTCCTGGTCAAATGCAACAGCAGTTAAGTCACATGCAAAGAAAGGTATATAAATAATAAGATAATATATATATATAATATATACATATAATGTATATATAATATATATAATATATAAATTTCATTATAAATATTTTTATATATTTTTATTTTTAGCAAGGTGAAATGATAAATGCTGGTTTTCCTGGGCCTCGAAATGTTACACCAACTCAATTTTTAGGTCAAAGTCCATCACCATCTGCTCCAAGTCCTGCTGGTTTAGGTGCACCATCAAGGTATATTTTTTTAAATGTTTAAATATCAAATAAATGTTCAAATTTGAAAATTAAAGTTATACAATAAATTTTATAGTAATCAAATGGTAGCATCACCAGCATTAGTTCCTTCACCTAGTCCACAACATGCTATGATGGCAGGACCACAACGATCTGTAGGTATGTACATGTTAAATTAGTTTTTATAGATTTTTATAGATTAGTTTTTACAAATTATTTATTCTAAAACGCATCTAAAATAAAAATATAAAATTTATATTAAATTAGGTATGGCACCATCTCCTAGCAGTTCCTTGAACACTCCTGGAGGTGTGGGAGCTACCCCAAGTCCACAACAAGAAGATCAAGCTTACAGAGACAAAGTTAAACAATTAAGTAAATATGTAGAACCTCTACGAAGAATGATTGCTAAAATGGGAAATGAAGGAAGTAAATAATTTTACTAATATTATTAATATTAACTATTAATATTAATCTCAATCATTTCTATGTAGATAATCATTATTTGATTTCTTTATTTAACAGATGTTGATAAATTAAGCAAAATGAAGAAACTTTTAGAAATTCTATCGAATCCTAGTAAACGAATGCCTTTAGATACATTATTAAAATGTGAAGTAGTCCTCGAAAAAGTAGATTTTAAAAGAAGTGATGCTAGTGTTGGGCCTCCAGTTACAACGTTAAAAGAACATCATTTCTTCAGTCCACTTTTAGAAGCAGTAAGCACACATCTTCAGAGTCCAGTGGTAAATCATACATTACAACGTACTTTTGGTCCCTGTTTAGAAGCTTTATTTGGTCCAGAAATAAAGTAAGTGATATTAATTTGATATATAATTTGTGATTGATCGTATTGCAAGCATAATCTCATAAAACTTTATTTTTACAATTAGAAATTTACCACAACCACTAAAAAAACAAAAAATAGAAGAATCTCCTAGTGAAATACCAGATGTATTACAAGGAGAAATAGCTCGATTAGATCAACGATTTAAGGTACATATAATCAATTTTTCTTTGCAATTTAAAACTTTGTAATATGTATTTAAACATACATATATATAGGTCAGTTTGGATCCAGCACAACAAACTGGATCAAAATGCATTCAATTGATATGTTGGTTGGATGATCGTCATCTTCCATGTGTTCCACCTGTCTCAGTGACAGTTCCTGCTGATTATCCATTGACGCCTCCCCGTTGTGTAATGGCACCTCATGAATATGCCACAACATTTCTTTGCGCAGTTCAGAAAGCTCTAAATGCACGTATAACAAAACTTCCTCGACGTTTTTCTGTATCTCAATTATTAGATACTTGGGAAATGAGTGTGAGACAAGCTAGTGCACCTTCACAAATTCCTATTACTGCTAGTACTGTATTAATGGGTTTATAATATAACTCTGCATATATTAAAGTATTTAAAAAATATTTTATAAATATAAAGTAATTATAAACTATGTTTTTATTTAATTTTACCCTATTTATTATTTTTTGAAACTTTGATTTGAATCAATTTTAATATTGATTAATTGAATATAATTTTAAATCAATATATAACTTAAATTAATATTAATATATATTTTTTATTAATATATTACATGCATATTTTTAATTTTAATATTATATCCTTTAATCACTTCTTAGAAAATTTAATCTTAAAGTATTTAAATAATCAGATTTTATATACAGAATATTCCAAAAATATTGAAACATTCGTAAATTACAAAGATAATTTCAAGCAATATTTTCTTTTTCTCACATGGCCTTATTAATGAATTATTACAAAAAACTGATCAATTATAGAACGCATAAAGAGATAATTTAATCAAATTGCAATAGTAGCTGATTACATGCTATTAATATAACAAATATTCTATTATCGATAAAAATTACATCGAATTATATCACAAACAATGAATAAATAAATAAATATAATATTTAACATACTTTCTTCAAAGTATGTTGAATTTGTTCGTATTTGTCGATGGCACATAACTAATGCTACTGTTATTTAAAAAGGCTACATGCTTCGTGATTGGCCAATATTTTTTTATTAATAATTTATTAATAAAGGCAACAAAAATTTTTTCAAAGAAAAATGTTGCTTAAAATTACTTCAGGAATCTTCAGTTAGATATGTTTCAACATTTTTAGGTGTGTATATAAATTCCTGTATAATTTCTACACATTAAAAATTAAGATATATGTAATTTAAAAAAAAAATGTGTTTGATATTTTATGGTTGCGCGCCAAGAGCAAAATATACAAAAAAAATAAATAGAAGAAAAACAGAGATCATTTTATTTAATTTCAATTATAAAAAATCCAATAAAAACAACACACAAAAAAGCATATATATATATATATATATTATATCTTATCTATAATTCTATTAAATATTTTTGAAAATATTAAATATTTTCGCTTATGATAAAATTAATATTAAAACACATGTAATGTCTCTATTTTATTATATATAACATGGTTTTCAACATGGTTTTGTAAACTCTTCTATGTTTGCAGTAATCAATGCACGTATCCATAGTAATAGTGGATATGTATAAAAATAATAATTAATAAAATAATTAATTAAATTATATTTTTAACTTATAACATTTTAATTAACAAATTATTTATAATTAAATAGAATAAATAAAAAAAATTCTATTGCAATGTTCAGTATTATTTTCATTTTATTATTAACCAAATTTTATAGCACATATTGTGAAGATTTTGATATTGATACAAATGGATATATTGTTTATTGTCCTTGTATGGGTAAGATATAGATTTTTTTTAGATTTTAAATAATTAATTATAATAATTTAATAATAATTAATTACAGAAAATGATTAAAAAAATAATAATTCGTTAAAATTATAAATTTATTTATAATTTGTAGGACGATTTGGAAATCAAGCAGATCATTTTTTAGGCGCTTTAGGATTTGCAAAAGCGCTAAATCGTACTTTAGTTTTACCACCATGGGTTGAATACAGAACTGGAGAAACTAGATCTGTTTGTAAAAAATAATATTTAATATTTTATAAAATATGAATAATTTTATCCATATTTTTTACAGATACAAGTCCCATTTGACACATATTTTAATGTTTCACAAGTTCAATACTATCATAAAGCATTATTAATGGAAGATTTTATACAAGATATTGCACCAAGAATATGGCAGCCTAAGGAAAGAGTATGTAAGTTTTAAATGTTAAGTTTAAAAATAAAATAAATTTAACATATTGTTTTCCTTAGCTTTCTGTTATTCTGCACGTGGAAAAGGAGATTCATGTAATGCTAAAGATGGAAATCCATTTGGCCCATTTTGGGATACATATAATATAGATTTTGTTAAATCAGAATTTTATGGTCCTCTTCATTATGATGTTTATCATACAGATATGGCAATACAATGGAAAAAACAATATCCTGCTTTACATTGGCCAGTATTAGCATTTACAGGTGCACCTGCAAGTTTTCCTGTTCAATTAGAAAATAAGAGATTACATAAATATGTGGAATGGAATATAGATATGTTAAATAAAGCAAAAACATTTATAAAACAAAAATTACCAAAAGGAGCATTTGTAGGAATTCATTTACGTAATGGAATTGATTGGGTATTTATTTTATAAATATTCAAAATATATTTTGAATATATTATAAATTTTAAAAAGTAATTTATATTCTATAGGTTCGTGCTTGTGAATTTATATCCAGCACACCAAATCTTTTTGCTGCTCCACAATGTCTTGGATATCGAAACGAACGTGGTAAAGCAACTTCTGCTATGTGTTTACCATCATTTGATTTAATAGTGCGTCATCTAAAACGAGTTATTCGCAATGGTAGTAATATCAAATCAGTATTTGTAGCTTCTGATAATAATTATATGATTGAAGAACTTACTAAAGCCTTAACACGAATGGAAGTAAGATATTAGTTAATAAAATTAATTAATTTAATAATTAGTTAATATAAAAATATTTAAAAGCAGTTAATTTTTATTTTGGATATAAACATTCAACATTTATTACAGGTTCCAGTTTTTAAACAAGACCCACCAGCCTCACCTCACTTAGATTTAACTATTCTTGGAAGAGCAAATTATTTTATAGGAAATTGTATATCTTCCTTCTCAGCTTTTGTTGCAAGAGAAAGAGAAATTAAAGGGTATCCTACATTTTTTTGGGGTTTTCCCTCAGAAAGATCTTCATCTTATATTATACATGAAGAATTGTAATGTAATTTTTAATTACTTTCATTTATTCTTTATACACTCCATTTTTATTTATTCAACAAGAATAAAATTTTAAATAATTTATTTAAATTATTTACAATTTTTACATGAATCATTTTTCATATATTATAGATAGCAAAAAACTTCTACATATATTATTTTATATTATATTTTATATTATATATATATTATATATTATATTTTATATTTTATTAAAGAAATTATATAAAATTACATTTTTTTCAAAAATAATATTTTTATAATAATGAAACGATAAAATAAAAATATATGTATATAAATGTTAACAATGTCAACATAGTTAATTAATATTTAGTTTTTAATATTTAGTTAATTAATATTTAGTTTTCTTATGTTGAACATGCAACATTTTCAAAGAATTTATAAATTTTTTAAAATTAATGTTTTGAAAATAATGATTTGAAAAAAAAATAATAAGATATTAATATAAAAATATAAAATAAATATGAAAAAATTTAAAATTAGTCGATAGAAATTAATATAACATAATATAACATTTATAGTTTTCAGAAACAATTGAATGATAACATATAAAAAATGCAATTTCATAGAATATCTAGAATATATAAATTATTACATTTCTAAATGTCAATAAATATAAATATATATTATTTAGTGAATAAAGTTTTAATTGTTTTTTTATAAATTATAAAATAACGATTAAAATTTGTATTTTTTATATTTTTGAACAAATTATTATCATATAAGATAGAAAAATTTTAATTAAATCAAATTATAAAATATGATAAATTGATAATATGATAACCTACATTTTTATAATAAATAATTTTAAATACTACTTAAAATTAAATAAAATAAAATATTGTAATTAAATATATAAAATATAATAAATTTATATATGGAATTATATTGGTTTAATAATCTTATAAATTTAATTAATACATAATATTAAAAGCAATATATTATTAAAATAAAATTACAATATACTCTATATTTTTATAGTTTAATTTTTAAAATATATTATCATCAAATATAATATTATAATGATAACAATTAAATTTATTAATGTTATTAAATCGAAAAGAAAAATTTAATAGTATATTTATTTTAATTTTATTATTATTATGATATTTATTTATTTTTCTAATAAAAGGAGTAGAAAAAATACATATTTTATCATTTATCATTATTTAAAATTACCACTTTTTCATATAGTGCCGATACTTGCTAGAAGATATCGTGCAAGTCGTATGAACATAAAATATATGTAAAGTGTTCAGTGACAATTTACGATATATTCGAACAAAATCTTAATACTTTATATTAATATTATTTTATTATAAATTATTATTAAAAGATTAAATTTTTTGGATAAATAAACTAATTTAAACATTAGTAACTTTTTTTAATTTAATCGCGAAAAATGGCTGATCCTAAATATGCTGATTTACCTGGAATTGTAAGTATTTCATATAATGTCAAAATTATATTGATGTAACTTTATTATATATATATATATATTTATTATTATATTATACATACATGTATATATATGTATATAATTTAATACAAAATGAACACAGAATTTATCAAATATAAAATTTCAATAAAAATGAAATAAAGATTTGGTATAATTTTATTTAATATTCTATAATTATGTTGCATTGAATGTACATGATATTTTGATATTTTTATTGTATTTATAGGCATATGATCAAGTTGATGTTTATGAAACTACTGATTTACCAGAATCAGAACAATTTCAACTTTATCCTGAGGTATAATATTATATGTATTATGTGTATTATGTGAAGATTATTTATAATATATTTATTATATGTTACATTATTTAATAGTATGAATATTTATATTTTTAGGATGAAACAGATTCTATAGAAAAGTTACATATTAGTGCCACAGAAGCATTTAATAAATTTAAAAATAAACATGTTATCAGCAAAGGAGTTGATTTTTCAGATCGAGTATCACTCAAACCAAGAACTGGCTATAAGTAAATTTTTTTCGGTAAATAAATATAAAAAATAAATTGTATATATTGAAAGATATAAATTTTAGATTTGGAGATTGGGAATTACCTGGAGAAGGAGAAAAAGAAACCCTTATTCAAAAATATCAGCGTTTACAATGTGAAATTAAAGAATTATATGAAGAAGTGAATGATTTAAAAGTATTTAATTTATTTGTTTTTATTTATTTATTTATTTAATTTATTATTTTATTTAATAAAAAAAATATATATATTTCACTTTTACTTATGAAATAGGAAAAAATGGGAGAAGATGAAGTAAAATCTGTTGCTGGTGTGATTTCTCAAGTACAACTTCTAGAAAAACAATTAGATTCCTTAAAATTAGAAGAATGTCTTGGAGCTGATCTTGTTGCTACTCTGTCTGATCCACAAGGCACAAGAATGAAGTAAGTTTATGTTATAATAATGAAATATTGAATGAAAATTTTTATTAATGAATATTTTAGACAATTGATATCACAAATAGAAGCATTCAAGCAAACTAGTATTCTTACTTCTGATACTGATTCAAAAGTGCAAAATATAAAAGATGATAAAACTAATAAAACAGAACCTGGTGTACTCAAGTATCAGATGATGTATCTTCCAGAAAAAGCAAGAATGCAAGAAGCAGCAAGAATTGCATTACTTGAACAAAGGCTTTGCAATTTAGAAAGTGTCATTGGAACAACTAGTGATAAACTTTCCAAATTTTCACAGGTATATGATGTGATTATTTTTTACATAATTATAATAATTTAATATTATATAAACAATAAATTTTTTTATAGAATCTCAAAGGTCAAGGAGTAATGGAAGCTCTTCAAGAATTAGGAGCAAAAGCTGCATTACTAGATACTTACCAATTAGATATAATTGAAAGTCGATTAGCTACACTAATTCATAGGATGGATAATATTGCACAGAAAAAAACTGCACTAACATTAGATTCAGAACAAGAACAAAAAGTAAGTTATTTTTTTTTTAAATAGTTAAATAATAATTTATGTAAAATTTTGAAATTAGAAATCCAATAAAATTTATTAAAATCGAATTTTGTTTTTAGATTTCAGAAATGTATGATATCATGAAACAGACAGAAACTATGTCACAAATTTTACCACAAACTGTAAATCGAATGTTGGCTTTAAATACCATTCACCAACAAGGTATCTAAATATGAGAAAAACTTTACATATATTTTTGTTTTAAAAATATATATTATTTTTTCAATATATTTCTTTTTAGCTGCTACATTTAATAAATCTTTAATACGTTTAGAAGAATTACAATCACAAATAACATCCGATTTGGAGAGTAATAAATCTCTTTTAAAAGGAGTTCAAGAAAGCTTTGCATCAAATTTAGAAATTATAAAAAATAATATAGAATCATTAGATGAACGTATTAAAAAACTTAACAAGTGATAATTTATAAAAATATGAAATATGAAATTTTCGTTACGATGCTTCAATTTTTTTAGTATATATTTATTAAATTATGTTATTTACTAATATATATTTTCTAAATGTATTTTTAAATTATTCATTTAATATACACCATCATATATTATATTCTTAAAATATTTTTATCAGAATCTTTTAAATTATTTTTTAAAAATATTTTTTTTAAAAATAATATAAATTAAGTATCTTTGTATTCTCGTAGTAAGATGGCTAATTCATTAATGTATACATTATAAATTAAAAATAAATTAGAATCATGCTTTTTTCAAGTATATATATAAAAAGATTAAAATTGTTTTTTCATTCTGGAGTAGGAGAATAAATGGGAATTATTACATTTAAAATATTTGTAAATTTTATATTTATTTAAATTTAATTAAAACCGTAATTTTTGGAAGAACCATTTGTTTTTACCAGATTTGTACCTAAAAATAAATTATAAAATTAAGTTAATTTATAAAATACAATAAATATTAAAAAATTAATATAAATATATATACTTTTCTTCAAATTTAACACGAGTTTGAAATCGTATCTTCTTGCGTTTCATTGGATCTTTAAGATCTTTAGGTGTTACTTTATCCCAATGTAAATCTACAGTATATCTTGTTGGCATCAAATGATTATAATTTAATACCTACAATTGTATATATTTAAATTATATTTACAATAAATATATTAGTACATCAAAATATAATGTAACAAAAAATATTTAATATAACCAAAAAAAAAAATTATATTAACAATTAATAAGAAAAGTTTAAAGATATTAAATAATTATTGATTTTTTCAATTTTCAATAATAATTTATAAAACTTACTTTCACAAATGGTTTGATCTTAGAACGTTTGTGAATCTTTGCTTTACCCATTCTTTTGTGTACTTTACGTGGATATCGATCAATACCAGCTACCATTGCATGTCCATATTGTTTTTCTGTAGTTCCATCATCATAGTTACGCATGATGATAGCTTTTCTTCCAGCATATCGGCCACTAAGGACCAATACGACTTTTCCTGTTTTCATAATCTTCACCATTTTGAAGATATCTAAATATGACAAAGATATGATAAGAAAATAAAAAATTAATTTAAAAATTATAATATAAATGTTTTATTATGAAACTCATATGTAATAATTTATATTATATTATTAATTTTTTTTTTAGCAAAATCTGTTTAACACAGATAAAATCATAATTGTAAACACATATCACATAACTTCTTCTTTATCACAAATACTAAAAAATAAAAAAATAAATTTACACAAAATTAATATTCTTAAAATTTTAATTTTTTGATATTCTTAAAATTTAAATAATTATTTTAATTTTAATTTAATATAAACAAAATTTTAAAAATATATATCAATATATTCTCTTACAAGAATAAATTATTATTATTAAAATTGTAAAATTGGAAAAATCATTGCTATTCCAAAAATATCGGAATAAACAATATTAAGACCAACATTATATATACAAATAAATTATTTTTCTATTTCCCGATGTTTTTGGATTAGTTTCTGTAATGACAAGCACTACACACCTCACAGTTTTTCACACCGAAAAAAAGGAAGTTAACCTAACTTTCAATTGCTTATCCGTTCAATATTTAAAATTCAACCTACAGATGTCGTATTATTACATCCGGTAATATTTAATGATAACCAATCCTAAGTCGCGATTTAAATGATATTTAATAAAATTATTTTTTAATAAAAAATTTTCGTTTAAATCAATTTTGTACAAAATAATACAAACATCTTTATTTATTTTTTACAATATGAATTAATTAATTTTTAAAAAATTAACGAAGTAGATTTGCGTATTTCCAAATCAGAAGCAATCACGAATCAGAAACAGCATTGTTTGTGCGAAAACGAGTATATACAATCGTTACCAAATATCTAAACTTTTCGAGAGTTCGAGAATAATTCCGATGATTTTCTCGATACATCGAAATGATTGGTGGACATAAGTAGCTTCCTGCTCGCTTGTATCTTGCACGAGGGATGTTAATAGGCATTATTTTACTCTTATCGTAGAACTTTTTTTAAATACAATTTGTCAACGGATTGAATCACTTGGAAAGACTGATATTGTTAGTATTGTGTAGTAATTGTGAACACAATAAGTTAGCGTAATGGCATTAAACCCCCAATATGAAGTTATCGGAAAGGGTTTCGTACAACAGTATTATGCGATGTTTGACGATCCTGCTCAAAGACCAAATTTAATAAATATGTATAATGTAAGTTTTTATTTAACGTAAATATAATCATATTTTTTATATTATATTTATTTAATTGTTATATTCATAGACCGAGTCATCTTTTATGACATTTGAGGGTTTGCAAATACAAGGTGCTATTAAAATCATGGAAAAACTAACTGTAAGTATTTTATGGAAGAAATATATATACATATAATTTTATTATATTAATATATTATATATATTATAAATATTATTTTTTCCAATATATTTTATATAAATAATTGTACTATTAAATATTAAATAAATATAAATGTATTATATTAAATAATTATGTTGTTTATAAAAAGATTATATGAAACACAAGAAAAATAAATATAGTATTTTTAATATTTTTTATTATATTGATTATTATTTTATTATTAATTTTTAATTTTCAGAGTTTAACATTTCAAAAAATAAATCGGATAATAACTGCTATTGATTCACAACCAATGTTTGATGGTGGCGTACTCATTAATGTTTTAGGAAGGTTGCAGGTAAAGAAAATAGCTTTTTTTATAATATAATTATAATATAAAAATATAAAAGTTTTGACATAAGTAGTATAATATTTATATATGTTAATAGTAAATATTATACATAAAAGAATTTTATAATTCAATATGTGCAGAAATTTTATTCCAATTAGTTCAGTAATTTAACTTTTTTTATTATTCCTATTTAATATATAATACAATACGCTTTCAAAAATAAAAATACATTTGGCCTAATATTTTCTTTTTAAATTCTTTGATTGCATTTATTTCTATTCGTCCACATATTGTATTTTATTGGCTGGACATGTTACACAAATGTGTACTGTACTGCCTTACATTTTTTGTGCTGCCATATGAAGATAGAGATTGAGCTATGACTAATGTCCAGCAACAATCTCTCTATATACCTCCGCAAAGAAGATGAAATAAGAAAATTCAGTCAGTGATTGTTGATGATTGGGCAGACTGATGAGGATCAGCCCCATGCATACATCCAGACATTTGTCCTGAAGCCAATTGGTACCAGCTTTTACGTGCAGCATGACATCTTCAGACTTGCTCTGCATAACACGGTTTAGGCGTCAGGTATTATTATTCCATTGATCTTCGTATCATGGTACAGGCAAGCTTGATACTAATTCTTAGTGTCTAAAGCTGCTTAATGTTTGTCAATATGCTTTTTTATTATTAATTTTAATTTTATTATATATTATTTGCAACATTGCTTTATTTTTGCTGTAATTTAAGATTTAAAAAAAATAATTTTTGCATTTACTAATATTACTATATAATAATTTGACAAACATGGAGATTTAAAGTAATTTTGTAATATAATGGAAGTATTTACTGCATTTTAAAGTTTATTATTATATTATATTTAAATTTAATAAAATTTTTTAATTTTATTAATTCAATATTTGCATGTACTATTTAATTAATTATACTTTGATAAATTATCTAATAAAGATGATAGTAAAGAGAAAACTTTAAATTGCTGAACTGATAGGAATAAAATTTATTTTTTCTATATTTAGTAAAAATTTAATGACTTATTATTTAATAATAATTCATATTAAGATTAATCATTATGATTAATTTGTTTTATAAAAATAATTTTAAATTTACATTTTTATTATATAATATGGTTATTATATATATTTTTTAATATAATAGAAATTTTATAATAATTAATTTTTAAAATTATTTATGGACATATAATAGAATATTTATATTACTGTAAAAAAAAATATAAAATAATTTTTTTATATAAAATTTTATTGTATGGTAAGTTTATCATTATATTATATATCTTTTTTATTTTTATTATTGTTCTTAAAATATTATGCATTTTTTGCATGATTAATAATAAAGTTATTAATTATTTTAATAATTATTTAATTTAATTGATTATTTTAATAATGATAATATTAATAATACCAATATAATAAGTTTAAATATATAATAAGTTTTTATATAAAATAAATTTGATTTTTATATTAATATTTACTAAGATTTATGCAAAATATATAAATAACAAAAAAAATATAATTTTTAAATATATTTATATTATTAACATATGTTATAAGTAATATATTTCTAATTTGTTGTAGGCAGATGAAGATCCACCACATGCCTTCTCACAGATCTTTGTGTTGAAGCCACTGGGGAACTCGTTTTTCTGTCAACATGACATCTTTCGTCTTGGCATTCATGATAGTGTATGAAGAGAAATGTCTGCAAGTTTATCACAGTTAATATAGCAGACAGGTATCTGAGCTATGGACTCCACAGATTAAAATAAGTGAGCTACTTTTTCCTTAATCCTTTGTCATCACATATTATTCCATTCTTTCTAGATATTGCAATTTTTATATGAAAAACATTTGCTTATATCTTGGCCATGAAACAAAAAGAGAGCATTAAAAATAAATACAGTTTAATAATTTTCTTGCTTTTCTCTTTTTTTAAGACACCTGTTAATTATATGTTTATAATATAATATTACAATTTAATACAGCACGATATAATGTTTGATTTTAATGGTTAATTATTAAGCTTCAAATTGTATTGTTACATATTTTATCTCCTCATACTGTGTGTATTTTTGTAAAACAAATATTGGCCATTAAATACAACACATAAAATTAATATAATGGTAGTTTCTATTTTAAAAATATTTTAATTTAATAAGAATTTAAAATATATTTAAAATTTCTAGAAAGAAATTTATATACATAATTGTATTTTATTTCAATTATATAAATTATATTTTTATAAATTGCCACGTTTAGCTTGTTCCATTTCAATAGCTTCAAAGAGTGCTTGGAAATTTCCAGCTCCAAATCCCTGAAACAAAAATAATTATAATTTTTATTGTTATCTGAATTTAAATAATTATATTAATACCTACATTATGATTATGTCTTTGAATAATTTCTATAAAAAGAGTTGGTCGATCTTGCATATTTTTGGTAAATATTTGTAAAAGATAGCCATTTTCATCATAATCAATTAAAATTTTTAATTTCTGAAAATATAATTGAAAATAAATATTAACAAATCTTTACTAAATTTATTTTATGATTTTGTATTTAATATTTATACCTGAAGTATATTAAGATCTTCCAAAATTTTTATACCATTAGTTTTCAAACGATTTCTTAACATATCATAATAAGTATCTGGAACATCCAAGAATTCCATTCCTCGAGCTCGCAAGTTTTCTATCTGTAAAGTAACAAAAATTTTTTATTTTAAAATTTTATAAAAATTTATTATTAAGAATATAATTTACAGCTGTAATTATATCATTTGTATTAAGAGCTATATGTTGCACTCCTGCTCCTCCATAATATTCAACATATTCTTGAATTTGCGAACGTTTTTTGCCAGGAGCAGGTTCGTTTATAGGCATTTTTACAGTTTCTTCCCAGTTCGTCATTACGATAGAACGCAGAGCTGAATATTCTGTATGCAATTGAGTATCGTCTACTGACCAAAATCGATGAAATTGCAAACATCGTTCATACCTAAAATGATATAATAAAAATTTTACATAACAAATATAATCGTATAGATTATATCTATACGATTTTCTTAAATTTGTTTCGTATACCATTTTGCTACTGGTTCCATTTGTTTATCAGGTTGGTTACCAACAACGTGATCCACGAAATTTAATCCTACTTTTGGTCTAAATAATAAAAGAATAGTTATTAAATATTTCATAATATTATACAATATTATCAAAGAATAATGTGATTATTCTGTGGGATTTAAATTACATACAAATTTTTTGAAAATAGATCTTCTGATGATTTCTGAAATCCTGGCAAAAAAAATCCTTTATACTTCGATCGATCTATTAGTGTATGATATGTGTTTCCGTACTAATAAAAAAGTGAATAATTTTATTGAAATATTATTTTTATTTCATGATATTATGTATCTACTTACAGTTTTTATAGTAGCAAATTTTACAATACCATATTTATCGTTTTCTTCCCATATGTCTTTTACTATTACGGCTCCTCTTTCTTTTGCGATCTAAAAAAATTATAATTTTTCATTTCGTATTTTTTCAAAAAAATTTATGATTTTAACTTACTTTTACAATGATATCTATATTTTCAACATTGAAAGCAATATCACGAAC